CTTTCCCATCGAGTATCGTGTTGGACGGTTTACTCGAATCTTTCTTTTTGCTCTTGACAAAGCTCTAAAAATTTCGGGTGTGATTTGTACAAGGCACTGTTAAGTTTAATGTAAGCGATACTGGCACGCTTGAAGTCACGCTTCGTGTCAGCTGTTCTGTGTAGACGTAGTTTTCTCTGGACTACGTTACGCTCATGCTTCAGCACTCTAAGCAGAGGAGTACTCCAAGCTGGGTAAATTGGTCGTCTTTTGATAGGAACATTTGATTCCAACCAGTCTTGATCAAAAAGATACAGCAGTAATAAGACATAATCAATTTTCTTGAAGTCTAGAAGCCCTGCTCTATCATCCACGTTGCAAGCTGGGTGAGATGGGCAATCAAGTGGAGCAGGTAGGGACAGAATTAAGGAAGAATGGTCAGCATCAATAGGTAAAAGTGGCACACCGGATTCATCGATAACGAAATCATTTTCACCGTTGCAAAATAGCAAATCCAGCGTGCGGCCAAGTGCGTTTCGGACTTATAATGTTGTCTGAGATTAACGAAATCCATTCCATCAACGAGAGCAATACGTACAGCGGTCAGTGAAGATGTTTCGGTGAGGTAGACCCTGTTGTCATCGATTCCCCACTGAAGACGAGGCTGATTATAATCGCCACAAACAAGAATCTTATCATCACAAGATGCCTTGTCGCACAACTCTTTGACTGAGGCAATATGCGCTTCCATATCTTCGACGTCGCGACTTCGGTCGGGTGGGATGTACACAGCGCATAAATATAGTCTATAGCCATGTAAGTCCAGTGATATACATACTTGCTCCAGCCTAGTACCGTGTCTGACATTCACAAATGTGCTGACATAACGTTGCGTCACAGCTATCAGCACGTTACCAAAGCATGTTTTATCGCTGTTGCGTAAGTTGCGATCACAGCGAAACACGTTGTAGCCAGGTCCAAAAATCTGAGTCGAATTGATGCTATCGTCAAGTCCGGTTTCAATCACAATCAGCAGCAGCCAGGAATAGATCATCAATTTTTGTCCGAATACCTCGTACATTTTGGTAATCCGATTTTCAGTCGAACCAGCCGAATGTTGCTCTTGAGGCGGTGAGGCGCTGGAAGCAACGGACGAATCAGGAGCGGAACTGGTGATGACACGAACATACTTGCCTTGAGTTGCGGGTTGGAAGACCTCTTCTCCAAGCCCACACACAGGTTCGGGACGACTGCGAGACGATGACAGAATTGACTCGACTGTGGCGGGAGAAGAAGGGGCTTCCGTAGTGCCAACTTCAATGCGTCCCAGAGATCTTAGGCGACCGGTAGGTGACGGATGATTGATGACTGATAATTATGGAACCCTGGAACCGCCGCTGGAACCAATGAACGAATCAGGAGTGGTACTGGTCGAGAAACAGATCATACTTGCCTGACATAACAGACCACTTGTTCAACTCACACACAGGGCTGGGATAAGTTATTGATCCTGGATTTCGATTGCGTTACGAAGGATGTATTTCAATTGACGTAAGTAATTATGTTGGATTACGCAAGCACTGTAAGAGTTGGGGAAAAAAACATACTAGCGGCAGTGGCATTGTTAGGGTAGGGTTAGGCTACTCTCGAGCATATTAGTCTAGCACTAAATTTCGCTTCCGACACTGATATTCGTATTAAGCATGATTTCATGTGGTACGGCTTTGCTTTTACTATCCGTATGAATATCTCTAGGAAAAAGATGAAAATCTAACTTTTATCTTAATAAATCAACTTTTTTGTAGACTGGAATCAGAGCCCAACAAGCCCACTTTCAATCGAAAATCGTCAAGTGACGACGAAGCTGTCAACCATCACTTTCAATTGCAAGTCATTCTGTCTTCTCTTCGAGCAGATCCCCTTCAACATCAACAGAACCACTGTCGAGCAGTTTTCATGCTGTTTGTTTTGGTTTGACTCGTGTTCATTTCGTCTTTCATTGTCAAATGAACTTATTTTCGCATTGAGGCAAAGCTGTTCGATCCAATTTTGCGCAGTTTTCTGACTTTTGTTGATCGTTCACTCGGTTCACTGAAGCGCATGCGCATACATCTGTGCTCGAGGGTATCAAATTTATCATTGCAGGGTGGTTTGTTTACCTCCCTTAGCTTAGTCGGTAAAGGCGCAACTACAAAGCAAGACCATGCTGGAGGTGGCTGGGTTCAATTCTCGGTCCGGTCTAGGAATTTTCTTGACTTCCCTGGGCATACAGTATGATTGTACTTGCCACACAATTGTACAAATGCAAAAATGGTAGCAGGCATCGAAAGCTCTCAATTCATAACTGTGGAAGTGCATCTAGAACACTAAGTTGAGAGCACGCAATACGCTAATTTGCGATAAACAATAAGCCTGAAAAGCGAAAAAAAAGAAGAAGGGTATCTAGAGGCCGGAAATCGATGATCGACGCCATTTTAAAATATAAGATGGCAGCTTTCGATTTATGAAAAATTAGGAATTACTGTCAAATACCCATCAATATGGATATTTTTAATCGGGTTGACGTCTAGAAGCCGGAAGTCGATGTCTGACGACATTTTAAAATCCAAGATGGCTGCTTCCAAATATGAGAAAAAAGTGCGAAATACTGACGCCGAGCCATCAATTTGAGTATTTTTGAAATTGGGTTGACGTCTAGAGATTAAAAGTTGATATCCGACGACATTTTAAAATCCAAGATGGCTGCTTTCAGTTAAAAAATAAATTGAAAATTCTGTCAAATACCCATCTATAAAGGTATTTTTGGAATCGGGAAGATGTCAAGAGAATGAAAATCGATATCTGACGCCATTTTGAAATCCAAGATTGAGGAATACGATATAAAAAAAAAAAATGGGAAATGCTGGGTGACATCTAGAGGGCGGAAATCGATGTCCGATGTCATGACGATGAACATTTCAAATTGTCCTATCTGCTTTGATCGATTCTCTTCAATATGGAAGATAACCCTTTTTCTATTTTATAGTCAAATATAGATTTGCCGCATCTACGAGTCGTCACCCTTCCGAAAATACCCAGATCTTAGGGTATTTGAAAATTTTTGTGAAACCCGATGGCCACCATAGTGGTTTCTAAAATGGCGTCGCATATCGATTTTCGGCATCTATCCTCGTTCCCAATGTAGTATCACACTTCTGAAAACCAATGGTCACTATCTTGGATTACAAAATGACGCCGATTTGAGACTTTTTCTGAGCCTTATTACTACATATAATCCGGATGCCATCCCTATCGGCATCCGATATTGTGCGAATACTATCCGGATACTATATTTTGATGCCTGACGACGTGACGCGTGACAAGTCGAATGAGCTTCGAATTGAAGTGAAAGTGGAAAAAACGCAGGAAGCAGTTTACGAGTCATTCATTGCGTCAATTGAAACAAGTCTTTGCTTCAAATGAAATGAACTGATAATTTTAATGAACGAAACACGCAATAGCCAAGTCATGCTTGACCGGAGAAAAGTTCATCGTGACACAATGACTTACACGAAAATACTGTTGCTCGAAATAAAGTGATTCTGCGGAGAGCTCAATTTCTTTTCTTTGTTTCAAAAATGCCATTTTCAGATCCTTTTCATGTCTGACGTCATTTTGACATCAAAGATGGCGGCTTTCGGTTTCAGGAAAACAGAAAAATACTGTCAAATACCCCACAATATGAGTATTTTTGGAATCGGGGTGACGTGAAGGAACCGTAAATCCATATCTGACGTCATTTTTAAATCCATTATTCTAACTTTGTGAACTTATACATCAGGTGGCCAGTGAAATTCAGAATTTTGTAGATGTTGATATTGATATTTAGCAGCACTGCGAATTGATGATTGATAGTGAGGTGTACAAAATAATTGGATGCAAGGATCCAATACTTTTCATAAATTCTACATTTGCTATGTTTTGTCAAATCCCTCTTTCAATTCAACAGATTGTATTTTGGGGACGGGCCCAGTTAGGTGCTTAGCATCCAAAACGCAAAAGGCCACGAGTTCAAATCTAATCCTCGGACAACAGTCACCAATGACCTACAATGTGATAAAGTGACTATACGAAATTGACTTAAAATATCAGACAATCCGAGTTATTAGAAAGGTACAAATTAATAAAATGGGCCTCCCTTAGATCAGTCGGTAAAAACGCAGCTACAAAGCAAAACCATGGTGGAGATGGCTGAATTCAATTTCCGGTCTGGTCTAGGATTTTTTCAGGATGAAAAATTTCTCGACTTCCATGGGCATTGAGTATAATTGTATTTGCCACACAATTATACTAATGCAAATATGGTACAGGCATTGAAAGCTCTAAATCAATACCTGTGGAACTGCATCTAGAACACTAAGTTGAGAGCACAGAATAAGCTCATATGCGATAAGCAGCTTGAAATGCGAAGAAGAGATGAAAATCAAATAAATAAAGAGAAGCGAGTTTTATGAAAACAAAAACAAGAAAATCCACACCATGGACAGTATGGATTACAAGGAACAGTAAAATTCAAGAAGTGTTAAAAAATTGATTATTAGAAGCATGGAACATCTGCCGCTTTGCCCCAATCGCCGGTTAAATTAATCCTGGAGTTCAAAGTGACTGTTTGACCGTTATTTCCCATGTTCAAAAATTCTGAGTTGTTGATCGACTTTTGAGCAGAACTCAGCTACAGTTGTGAAAATCTAACTGCTTGTCAATCAGAAATAACCTCGTTCAGATAACAGGATTAATCGTTTAACTTCTTCACTAGCCCAAAAGTACGCATTCCATAACTTAACCAGCTCAAAGTCAAATTTATCGCATGACCGTTCAAGTCCGTCGATTTCTAATTCAATTATTGGACAAAGTTAGAAGCCGAGTGCGGCATCGTTTGACATGCGAGGTAATCTTTTTCAGTTTTAAGTTTAACCCACAGGCTTATAAAAGCCTTCGTTCTGCGAGGCGGAGACATCATTCAACCGTGTGTTTTCGCTTGACCAAGTCCACCAAGTGCGCCTTTTTTCCACAAAAAAAGCAAAATGTTCAAGGTATGTATAACTGTGGCATATATGCGGCAAGTGCTTCACCGCAGTTCCATTTTCATCGATCATTAATTGTTTCCTCACTGCCAACAGTTTGCAGCTGTTGCAATGCTACTGGTGGTGGCCGTCTCCGCTCAGGGGTACGGTGGCGGTGCCGGCGAGGGTCTCGGGAGTTATGGTGGACACCACGAGGATCATAAGGACCACCATGCCTATCCCAAGTACAAGTTCGAGTACGGCGTCAAAGATGATCACACCGGAGATCACAAGAGCCAGTGGGAGGTCCGCGATGGTGATGTTGTCAAGGGCGGTTACTCTCTGCTTGAAGCTGACGGCACTGAGCGTGTGGTTGAGTACACATCCGATAAGCACAACGGTTTCCAGGCTCACGTGAAGAAAGTAGGACATGCGCATCACCCACAGGTCCATGGACACCACGGTGAATGGTAGGACCCAGGAACGATTGACTGTGATATGAATGTTTGACCAACATTGTGATTCCAAAGATATGCCATGAGGTGATGTTTATTGTTTATGTTTGAAAATAAAAATGACATATTTTCATGATAATTTATTTGAATGTGCACTAACATACAATATTATTTTTATACAAACACTTTATCGCCACCACTGGCCAGTGGTTTGGTAAAAGAGATGATCAACCCGATTTGTGTCTTCCTCAAAATTGACTCGCTTTCTACTCTCTATATACAATTTTCACACTGCCGTACTCTAACGGACCTATCAACTCTATACTTTTATCTCCTCATCTATCGTATAAAATGATCTAACTATCAACTCTTTACTTTCATCTCCTTATCTATCTTATAAAATGAACACTTTAAGTCTGATATATGATGTTAAGCATATCCAACTATGTTAATCGTTAACCTCACGCATGAAGTAATACAACCATGATTAGTTAAAAGAGTTTATTGTGTTATTAAAAGAAACCAGAAGAGTGCGGGAATCGAGTGTGAAGGTCCAAACGTAATGTGGGCGGAAGTGGAACGAATACGACAAGTTAAACAGTTGTCACAAATAACATCAAGATACCTAAACGAAGTCGATTTGGTTCTAACTAGAGTCGGTATATAATGAGTCACGCCAAGAGTGAAGCCAAGTCTACCTATTGGACTGTCAAACTGGCTACCTATCGTGCAAAGTAAACAAACATTACGATGCTATGAAACACGCAGTGAGCATTAAATTGTCATGGGATACGTTTGGTAACGATCAGTAATGAGAATTTCTACTATTTTTTGTTAAGATGATTGGACAAAATCACTGATAGAATGATTTACAACAGCCGCTATTTTTTTTTGCGCGCTAGAAGTCATTTGAAGTTGATGTAGCAGTCCTCTGTTGCCAAGTGAAAAGAAAGGAAATCTTTCGAAAACCGTGATGCGAGTTCAACTGTTTTTCTCTTGGCGTGACTCATTATACACCGACTCTAGTTCTAACTATTTGCAATCCGACAAGTAGGCTTACTAAGATCAGGCTTTTCCGCTGACGTTCCGCTTCCACTGTCATTGCGCTAAGGCCTGGAGTGTGAGGTGTTGGGTAACCCGGGGATTGCCGTCAGCCGTCAGCTTCAAGCAGATTGTCTACTTCACCACAAAGTGTTACTTTATTATCTGACAAGTGCTCTTCCCTCAAGAGTTGAGATAGAGCAGATGGCAAAGACCAATCGGTGGACACTAACGATTTTAAATTGGCTCACTACTTGACTAGCCTATTGGTCCCAAGCAAATCGATTAACGTACCCCATTCTAGTCGAAATTCTAGTACTACATGCAGTAACACAGCATGTATTAATTCTTAAATTAAGCTCTAGTCGGGAGCTTAGGATGGTTTTGAAAAATTGTATGTATTTTATTGATTTTTCGCAAATGGTATTTTCTTTTAGAACTTTTAGAACTTTTTATTGAAAATATTTTTGCTGAAGCAACATAGTTTTTTTTTTTGTTAATTACTTTATTTGTACAGGCTCATTCGAATAAACTTTACAGAGCCAAGTTATCATTTTCTTTATACATTATAAATGTCTTAAATCTAAAATTAAAGGATTGGAACCGATTACTCGCGGTCTTCTCGAGGTTAGTGGATGACAATTGTTTGGATCGGGAGAGGGAAAAGGAGATTTGGAATATGATTTATGATTCAAAAATTACACTATTTCTAAAACAAATACTTAATCCTATCGACGTTATATCAACTCTGTAATTATACAATTATTACAGAAACAAATCTACAAAAAAAAAAATACACACACACATACAAAACACAAACTAAACACAAGGTTAATCAAACTTACAATCTATGGTTAATATTCTTCAAGAAAACATATATGAGTTGCATAAACTCCAGATCGCGTCTAGCCAAAATATCCCGAACTGGAACATTAGGTTGTCTACCTCGAGCCCGAAGGGAATCATACAACTCGGATCTGACTCCACGGTGCTCAGCACATGACCAAATAATGTGATCTGCGTCCTGGTAACCTTGTCCACATTCACAGAGATTACTGTCGCCCAGCTCAACACGGAACAAGTGAGCGTTTAACGAGTAGTGATTGGACATGAGGCGAGACATCATACGAATGAAGTCTCGACCCACATCCAACCCCTTGAACCAAGGACACTTCGACACCTTAGGGATGATTGAATATAACCATCGTCCCAAACTCCCTTCACTCCATTTATTTTGCCAGCTGGCGAGGGACTGTTGACGATAAATGAAGAAAAATTCGTCGTAGGCGATTTGTCGATCGTAAATATCGCCTTCCATAGCGCCCACCTTTGCAAGCGAGTCCGCCTTCTCATTGCCCGGAATCGAGCAATGAGATGGGACCCATGCAAAGGTGATGACAAAAGATCTTAAAGATAAAGCACTTAGAAGCTCTCGTATTTTCATGAGAAAATACGAGGAGTGCTTTACCGGCCTCATAGAGCGAATAGCCTCGACAGAACTGAGACTATCCGTAAAAATAAAATAATGATCTGGTGCAAGTGAGGCGATCATTTCTAGCGTATAGTATATTGCCGCCAGTTCAGCAACATATACGGAACAAGGAGCTTGAAGCATTCGAGAGGCGCTATGAAATTCGTTATAAATACCAAAACCAGCGGACGCCTCTATTAGTGATCCATCTGTGAAGAACGATCTTGCGGAATCAACTTGGCCAAACTTTGCAGCGAAAATTGACGGAGCAATCATGGAACGATGATGCTCTGGGATTCCGCGAATCTCTTGCGTCATTGATAAATCAAAATGAACAGAACTGTCGAAGTCGTAGAAGCAAACACGATAGGGATTATGCTGCGAAGGGCTGACATCCTGTGTTATGTACACGTAGTACAATGACATAAAACGAGTTTGAGGGTTTAGCTCAAGAAGCTTCTCAAAGTTTGCAATCACCAGTGGGTTCATAATTTCACAACGGGTGAGGAGCCTGAGGGATAATTCCGAAAACCGATCAGAGAGTGGCAACATGCCCGCTAACACTTCGAGACTCATCGTATGAGTCGAGTGCATGCATCCTAACGCGATACGAAGACAGCGATACTGGATCCGTTCCAGTTTGATGATGTGCGTTTTAGCCGCCGACTGGAAGCAAAAACTACCGTACTCTAAAACCGATAAAATCGTTGTCCGGTACAACGTTAGAAGATCTTGCGGATGGGCTCCCCACCACGTTCCGGTAATTGTTCGGAGAAAATTGATCCTTTGTTGGCATTTCCGCTTCAGATACTCAATGTGGGATCTCCAGGTGCATTTTGAATCGAACCAGACCCCAAGATATTTGAAGGACATAGAATGAGTGATCGGTTTACCCAAAAGTTGAAGCTTTGGTTGTGCTGGGCTATGCTTCCTAGAAAAAACGACCAACTCAGTTTTCTCCGTGGAGAATTCGATACCTAGCTGGATAGCCCAAGTAGACAAATTGTCTAAGGTATCCTGTAAGGGTCCTTGCAGGTCGGCCTCTCTGGGTCCTGTCATAGACACTACTCCGTCATCTGCAAGTTGTCTCAACGTGCAGTTGTCCCTTAGACAATTGTCAATTTCTCTGACGTAGAAATTATACAGAAGGGGGCTTAAACATGAGCCCTGGGGGAGACCCATGTAGCTAAATCGTGAAGCTGTAGAGTTTCCATGAGAAAAGCTCATATGTTTCTCTGACAGCAAATTGTACAAAAAGTTATTAATTAATGGAGAAAGGCCACAAGCGTGGAGTTTGTCTGAAAGGACTTCAACCGATACTGAATCAAAAGCCCCCTTAATATCCAAGAAGACAGAAGCCATTTGCTCTTTATTAGCAAAAGCCAACTGAATTTCAGTGGAAAGCAACGCGAGACAGTCGTTCGTTCCCTTGCCCCTACGGAAACCAAATTGAGTATCTGAGAGTAGGTGGTTCAACTCAACCCATTTGTCCAGACGAAAAAGGATCATTTTCTCCATCAATTTTCGAATGCACGATAACATCGCAATGGGACGATACGAATTGTGATCTGACGCGGGTTTTCCAGGCTTTTTAATGGCTATAACTCTCACCCGCCTCCAATCATCCGGAACAATATTGAGCTCCAGGAACTGACCAAACAAGTTCAACATGCGCCTCTTAGCGACGTCTGGGAGGTTCTTCAACAAGTTGAACTTGATTCTATCAGCCCCCGGAGCCGAATTGCCACACGAAAGGAGCGCGAGTGAGAGCTCCAGCATTGAAAAAGGCTGGCTGATCTCGTCTACCGAATTCGTCGTTTCGCGAGGAATCATCTGTGCCGGCACAGAATCAGGACATACTTTTCGCGCGAACTTGAGGATCCAACTATCGGAGTACTCCTCGCTCTCGTTGTTTGAAGACCGGTTACGCATCCTTCGCGCCGCATTCCAAAGCGTATTCATCGACGTTTCGCGCGATAATCCGTCCACGAATTGCCGCCAGTATCCGCGTTTCTTGGCTTTGATGAGGCTCTTGAGTTCGCGTTCAAGAGCCGAGTACGCTTCGAAATTTACGGGTGTTCCACGTTTCCGGAAAAGCTTAAACGCGTCGGACTTTTTACGATAAACCTCAGTGCATTGCTGGTCCCACCAAGGGGAAGGAGGTTTCCTACGGAAAGACGTTCCTGGAACCGGCCGAGTTTGAGCTTGAAGCGCGCTGTCCAAGATCAGATTGGAGAGGAAGTTATATTCCTCCAACGGTGGAAGCCCTTCTACCGACGACACGGCTTCCTCTATCGCGGTTTTGAACTTTGTCCAATCGATATTACGGGTAAGATCGTACGCGACGATAACGGGTTCCGACGGATTGAACCCACTGGCAACTGAAACTTTGATCGGCAAGTGATCACTACCGTGGGGATCTTGGATCACATTCCACGTGCAATCCAACGATAATGAATTAGAGCAAAGTGTGAGGTCTAATCTACCTCCATTTGAGGATGGACCAGCCAGACGTGTTACTTCTCCATTGTTAAGAATTGTCATATTGAAGTTATCA